ACCACGTTGAAACAACTCAGAGGAGGTTGTCGTCAAACATATGTTCTGTTGTCAATTGTTACTTCCTGATTGGTTGAGCTTGATTCATAATCTTAATTTGAATTCTGAGTTTCCATGCGTGTGTGTTCATATTCCAAAGTCTAGTCCGGCAGAATATAAACAGAACTGCATGGTAATGGAATCGATTCAACCATTATATCGATGGCACACAACGGTCATAACGAGAGTAGCGAAGAACTTACGGTTAATAAATGAATACAGTGTGGCTTATAGTCAGTCTGAATTCGCTTTCACGAAGATTTATGCATGAAAAATTTGAAAATGGATACAAATTTGGACTTGGTAGACGCTAGTCACTAGACTGCGTTTATAATGCCAATGCAGGTAACTTATTTTACTATTTATCAATATTCTAAGGGCATTGAAACAGAATTTGTTTACATTGTACCGACTATCGAGAGTGATTTTAGAGGTATGTTACATTGCGGCCGTTCATTTGATATCGATCGATGTCATCATCCTCCCTCCCATGGTGCCAATGAGTATAAAAAATTGGCTTTGTTAGCCTGGTTTGCGCCGATAATATTATATATCGCATTCGCATGTGCCGTGTATGCATAGAGCTTTCACGAGCATCGTTAATAATATTCATATCGTGGCTAGTTACCTTTCTTTGAATCTAAGACTAAGATTATATATAAGCAATATATTGAACAACGCGTCGACACTTAAACTCGTGTAAAAGCTGTTTTATTACGTTTATTGATTTAATGTCTTTAATTATAGCTCGTTGACGACAGCATCTAATTTAGCGGGGAAATATTGCAAGTATTCGCGTCAGGTAGCCATACTCCAAGATGACAAACTGATTCATGATAGAGAAAGATTCAATCGATTCATGAAGAGAACAAATCTGTGAAATCGAACTGTCATACCGCATATAGTTTATATCAGATATGTATGTATTATAGATATACCTGCCAATAATGCCGCACGTTTACTGGGTAAAGCCTGCAGTACACGAGAGCTATCTGCCGAGCCAAAAGTTACTCGTGCCTATTAGCTCAGCTGATCGCTCACCGATCAAACATGTTTGATACGTGAGAAAAGGTTGCATGAGGCAAAAAACTCAGTAAAATGTACGCGCACACGGTGAGCTATGTATCGGCTAAGCTAACAGGCACGAGTAACTTTTTGCTCAGCAGATAGCTCTTGTGTGCTGCAGGCTTTACCCAGTAAACGTGCGGCATTGTTGGCAGGTATATCTATAATACATACATATCTGCATGATATAAACTATATGCGGTATGACAGTTCGATTTCACAGATTTGTTCTCTTCATGAATCGATTGAATCTTTATCTATGGGTTTGCCTTTCAGCTTGTCATCTTGGAGTATGGCTACCTGACGCGAATACTTGCAATCTTTCCGAACCCCGCTAAATTAGATGCCGTCGTCAACGAGCTATAATTAATGACATTAAATCAATAAACGTAATAAAACAGCTTTTACGCGAGTAAAGTGTCGACGCGTTGTTCAATATATTGCCTATATGTATAATTTTTAACGCCCTTAGAATATTGATAAATAGTAAAATAAGTTACCTGCATTGGCAATATAAACGCAGTCTAGTGACTACCAAGTCCAAATTTGTATCCATTTTCAAATTTTTCATGCATAAATCTTTGTGAAAGCGAATTCAGACTGACTATGAGCCACATTGTATTCATTTATTAACCGTAAGTTCTTCACTATATCGTTATGACCGTTGTGTGCCATCGATATAATGGTTGAATCGATTTCCATTACCAGTTCTGTTTATGTTCTGCCGGACTAGACTTTGGAATATGGACACACACGCATGGAAACTCAGAATTCAAATTAAGATTATGAATCAAGCTCAACCAATCAGGAAGTAACAATTGACAACAGAACATATGTTTGACGACAACCTCCTCTGAGTTGTTTCAACGCGGTGAGTTCAAATTTCAAAGTATGGCCCGACTGGTCGTTATACTATTTTGCAAATTTATGTTGTCGATACAAGAGAAAGACTAAATCAGACAGAGAGCTATGGGATATGAATTGAGATACGCCAGTAAGATGAAACGCGCCACCAGGTAAATCATAGTTCTATTTATCATAAATTGTGCATTGTGAGAATTATGAAATTGTAATTTTATATTCATACATATGTTGCGAATATATTAATGCGCGCAATTCGCTAAACCATTACATAACTGACAACTGCAGATCATTTGCGGTTTGCACTGATATTAATTATTACCAGTGTACCGCACTTATTTACTTATTTACAATGTATACCAGCTTATTATTAGCTCTATTGTTACTTTAATAGATCTTGACTACCAACAAAACTCTGACTGAATCATTACAGGAGCGTTGTCTCTTAAAACTTGAATTGTACTGATTTTATATCAATTTTCATTCGTACGTACTACGTTGTGGAGTGTGTATATATATAGGCTCTTCAAGACCTTCAAATGCATTACACTTCATTTAACTATAGTAAATTATCTCTGGGTTAAGTTTATTTTCAACGCGTCGACACCTTATTCATATTTTTTCTAGTTCATTATTGTTATAGCCACTGTACATAGCAAAAGCATGGCTAGTCAGAAATATTTAGTGTGAATATTCAACTACACTCATGCTGTGAAGATATATGAACAAACGACAACCTTGCCGCTTAGCTATTTCACAAAATGTTTTCTATTTTCCTTTGCAAGATAAGCGATCTTAAAAGATGGCAGAGCAGGAAAGGCCAGACACGACACTTATATTGCATGTCTGAATATTATACAGAATATAATGGTTGGTTAATATTATATTAAAATTTTGACAAACTCGAACCGATTTCGCTGTGTGCAATTCTGCTATAGCTAATTTATCTGGTTGGTTTCGCTGTCTGAAATTCAGCTAGTAGCCTACCTAAAATATATCTCAAAATATATTTTGACAAGCTCAAACCGACTTCGGTGTCTGAAATTCAGCTACACTGTACCTATCTCTAGGTGGTATTATATATGATTGTTTTGGCAAACTCAAACCGTTTTCGGTGTCTGAAATTCAGACACCCAAATTTATCTCAGTCTGCATGGTTGGTATTTATATATGATTTTGACAAACTCAAACCGTTTTCGGTGTCTGAAATTCAGACACCCAAATTCATCTCAGTCTGCATGGTTGGTATTTATATATGATTTTGACAAACTCAAACCGTTTTCGGTGTCTGAAATTCAGACACCCAAATTTATCTCAGTCTGCATGGTTGGTATTTATATATGATTTTGACAAACTCAAACCGTTTTCGGTGTCTGAAATTCAGACACCCAAATTTATCTCAGTCTGCATGGTTGGTATTTATATATGATTTTGACAAACTCAAACCGTTTTCGGTGCCTGAAATTCAGACACCCAAATTTATCTCAGTCTGCATGGTTGGTATTTAAATATGATTTTGACAAACTAAAACCGTTTTCGGTGTCTGAAATTCAGACACCAAATTTATCTCAGTCTGCATGATTGGTATTTATATATGATTTTGACAAACTCAAACCGTTTTCGGTATCTGAAATTCAGACACCAAATTTATCTCAGTCTACATGGTTGGTATCTATATATGATTTTGACAAACTCAAACCGTTTTCGGTGTCTGAAATTCAGACACCGAATTTATATTTATATCTGACAATGGTTGGTCTATTTATATATATGAGTGATAATCTGAATCCAGTTTAAGTCATGTAAGCATATGAATACTGCAAATTTTCACTTTAGCATTAATGATTTCAGAATGGTGTCTCGTTTAGACAAAAATGTTGTTTTTTTGCAGAGTCTCTGCCAAAAAATAGTATTTCGGTTTGCTAAAATGAAATCTTCGCACTTTTTGTTATTTTTTTAAATTTTTGCAGAAAAAAAAATAGTTTGGAATTATTGAAAATAGTTTGGAACGCGTTTTAAGAGCCTTCTCATCAATATAGGTATAGTTGTTAATTAACGTATAGAGTAAAACCATGTCCAAATATTCATGCCAATAAGTTATTGGTAGTAACTCCAGTTGATGTAATCTATTCATGTACGAGACATTGGTGGTAAACCCAAGATTTAAGATGTATTTCGTTGCTCTTCTCTGCACCTTCTCGATGTCTTCGATTAACTTAATGGATTGTGGGCACCATACTTGGGATGCATAACCAAAATTGCTGCGTGCGAGTTGTAGATACAGAAGCCTCCTCGCGTTTATAATAGTCATCTCCGCGCTAGATCGTCTAATTAGCCCGAGCATTTGGTTGGCTTTCGACCATACTTTATTTACTTGATCGTTCCATAATAGCTTAGGACTAATGGTGATATCCAGATCAACCTGTGCGTCGGAAACTAACAACTGATCATTGTCAAGCTTATAGGGATAAATTAAAGGCGATTTCTTTCTGGTTATTTACAGCACTTTACACTTAGATTGGTTAAAGCGTAGCCGGTTTTCTATCGACCAACAAAGTGGGCCTTGAATATTATCTTACAAGACCAATGCATCGTTTTTATCTCGATGATGAAACATACATTAAGGATCAACCATCTGATTGTTGATGAGCAAACAAATTCTGAGAGATACAAATGTGCATTAATATCAATATGAATAGATGTAGTTGTACTAAATTTTAGCCATACGTTACGCATATTAGGAAGGCGGGTAGAAAGAAAAACGTGGATTATTCGAAACTCACCACTCTTCAAAATCAACAAATATCACTGCTTCCCATTGTTGGTATTACCGCTTGCATGTAAGATTCTACAATTGTGTTTTGATTGATTCATAGTTTCATAAACTAGTCATAGATCAATGCGAGACCTCTCTCCAAACAAGCTACATTTGCGCAAATATTTGAGATTTGGATGAAGTGACGCTAGGTTTCTGAATGAGGTTTTTAATATTTACAGTTAGTATGAAGTTTCTTACCTGTATATTTTCCTTCTTAAGGATACTCGAATGGCAGCAGAAGCAGCTAAAAATGCCCTAGATGGCTCCATGCGAAAGGGGAGAAACTTAACTGTGAGATTTGCTAGCTTATCTACTGCTATCCATGTTTCAAACCTTGGCCCCCTGGTTTCAAACGAAATGTTGGAAAAAGCCTTTTCTGCATTTGGTGATGTTGAGAGAGCTGTTGTTGTTGTCGACGATCGTGGAAGAAGCAAAGGTTACGGAAGGGTGGAGTATGCTCGTAAGGGAAATGCCTTAAATGCATTACAAAAAACGAATGAAGGATTTTTTATGATTGGAAGGTATGTGAAAACCAGTGCTTGTGGAAACAGGCAAATCAATTGACTCTAATTTGAACATTTGCTGTAAACAATTGAACCATTGACAGCATTGTTTACAGGAAAATAGAATAACAACATCTGTTCACGGGCTTTAGGACAAATCAATTTGACAACAATAGTATTCTATCTAAATAGCAGTTAAAATAAAGTGTACGGCACCTCAACTGTTCAATATCTTGCTTCTATATCCATAAAACATTTACATATATGCAAGTACTGTATATTTTCAAAATCCGCCATATTTATTTATATTTGAACACAAGCTTGCGCGGTTCACACGAAATATTAACGTCGGTGATTTTCACTAATAATAAGAGGGTAGGATTTAATCGTTCGAAGCGCGAGGAAACCGTGCTTCCATATATGGCACAAACGTGTCCCCAACTTACTTATATGTCACAAACGTGTCCCCAAAATATTTTATCGAAGCCGTTATGATGTCATACGATTCCTCCTGCTCGAAACGATTTGAACAGGTCACGTGGTACAGAACCCAGACAGCTGATTGGGTTAGGGAGTGACAACGCCCACTTTAATCCTTCCATCTTATTATTAGTGAAAATCACCGACGTAATCTTTCGTGTGAACCGCGAAAGCTTGGGTTCTGATGTAAATAAACATGGCGGATTTTGAAAATATACAGCATTAGCATATATGTAAATGTTTACGGATTAATAGAAGCAAGATATTTAACAGTTCAGGTGCCTTACACTTTATTTTAACTGCTATTTAGATAGAATACTATTGTTGTCAAACTGAATTTGTCCTAAAGCCCGTGATCTGTTAGTTTTTATTCAGAGTTGAAAAACAGTATTGTCATGTTTCGCTCGCTACTCTGGTTTAAATAAATGATTACAAAGCCCAGTACAATTGTAATCAAGACCCAACGTTTCGACACTCCAGTCTAGTGTCTTCATCAGGGGTGATCTAAAGTTGCAATCGTGGCTTCTTAAATACCCAAGGGATGATGTCACCTGCCAATGAGATGCATGTATTCCTCTGGCAAATAGGCACCGTCATCGCAACCTCGTACCCAGGCTATTTTCTGTTATGCTCGGTGCACGGCCACTTGCTGAGAAAATACCCTGGTATTGTCTTGTCACGTGTCTCCCAGAATCTGGGAGGTAACAATGAATTTCTAGTAGGGTGGGTAACTAGAAAGTACATGCATGCAGAAACCCTCGCCTTGCTGAATTCCAAACATGAAGTATTGTTATGGTTACACGATATTATAAGAATAGTTTTAAAATTGAAAAATCCCCCCAAAATAAAGATCACTTTTAATTACAAATTACTTATATAGCGTTATTTACAGTAATTGATCAAATGCGCTTCACAGAGTTAAGAATAGATACAATATTTACATTATGTACTAGATAAAACATGAGCAGCCAACTGTATCTGATATACAAACTCGAGCCGAAGGCGAGAGTTTGTATATCAGATACAGATCGGATGCGAATTATCGTACTTAAAAAATGACCCATCTTATGAGTTCATTCGTTCCGCATTTTAACCGTTCCGCATTTTAACCCCATCCGTTCCGTTCCGCACATTTTAACCCCATCCGTTCCGCATTTGAACCTAACCCGTTTGAAAACCCATATAGAACCATATTACCCAATTATTTAATTTTGTAGTATAAAATTTGGTAATTTCGAGTTTTCTTGTTTCCTTTGAAATTTTCTTATTTCAAGAAAATTTAAGAACAAATTTCTTATGATCTAACTATTTCTTATTTTAAGAAAGTGCTAACTTATTTTAAGAAAATGTTTTCTTGTTTTGAGAAATATTTTCTTAAAATAAGAAATTATATTTTCTTAAGAAAATATTTTTTTGCTGTGCAGTTCTTGGTCCAATAAGCGATTGTTCTGCACCCACAGTTAATGGGACAAAAAGCTTTACTCATTGCGAGATAATTGTGGAGTTGGCCTCAAAGATAGACTGCACAAATATCAAACTCGCACGGCATGAGTATTTTCTGGTGCAACTTACGATATTCGATCAGCTGATTTGCTTGAAAATCTGAAGTTATAACCCCTAGAAGTGAGACAGAATTACCTGAAATCAATCTCTATGTATAAAATGCTTAGTGCTTACGTATGTATATGTATGTATGTATACGTATGTATGTAACAAACACAATTTACCTTTCCCCATTTTGTACAGTAAATATTTAAAAATTGCGAAGACATCAATTTTTTAATAAATACCAAGTCTTATGATTCGAATATGAAGCGATGGCAAACTTCGTATGGGCAAGGGACACCCTGTATATCTAAAAAAATTGGGCAAGCGTGCAATAAATGGTCTATTAGTTCCACTTATGTCTACATGAACACCTGTAAAAATGCATGTGAAATGCATCCCCAGATATTCTTTATCACCTCAACTGATTACATATCACTACAATGTTTCATGTGCAATTCTAGATCACCAAGACCTGTGTTTACTAAACAACAAGAGCAAACTGATGATGAAGAAGGTCTGCTTGAAAAGTCAATTGAACGCCAACCAATGTATTTCAGGTACGGTGGGGGTCAAAAGTCTGAGTCCAGTCAATATGATTTTACCTTTCATTGATATACAATGTATGCTTACACAACATACCACTATATGTGCGTCGAATAAGGATTTACATCAACGTTGGAATTGATTATACTATACTAGCCAAGTGAACATTATTTTAATATTTTGTGTGACCTCCTTTTGATTTTAAAACAGCTTCAACTCTTCCTGGCATAGCCGTAGATTCAACAAGTTCTAACTTTTCTTAGTATTTATGGTTTAAGGTTATTCCAGCATTATTGATCAACGAAATCCCATAGGTTGGTTGTCTTTACTTGTGGGATTATGTTTCACTTTCTCTCGTTTCAAATGTTCCATAAATTTTCAATAGGATTTAGGATTTTAGGTCTGGAGGTTGAGGAGGAAATCCATAACAACCAGATCACCTTTTTCTTGCTCCCTAATTATTAAATAGTTTTTACGAAACAACAATATCACTCTTGCAACGCGGGATAATGATCCGAAACACACTTCTCACATGTGTAAAAATTATTTAAGAAGGAAGCAAGAAAAAGGTAATCATTTGGTTGTTATGGATTTTCATCCTCAATCTCGGGAACTAAATCTCATTGAGAATTTATGGGATAATTTGAAACCAGAGAAAGTGATACATGATCCCACAAGTAAAGAAAACGTATGGGATGTCCTTAATCAACCCTGGAATAACCAGCAGTGCTTATAGAACACTAAAACTGTCTGTACCAGTGTAGGTAGTACCAATGTGAAAATGCTGTGCTGAGTGGTTATATTACTACCTTAAAAAATAAGCAGAAACTCGACGTTTCGAGCGAAGGCCCTTCGTCAACTCTTGACGAAGGGCCTTCGCTCGAAACGTCGAGTTTCTGCTTATTTTTTAAGGTAGTAATATAACCACTCAGCACAGCTTATATAGAACACTTGTTGAATCTGTGTCAGGAAGAGTTAAAGCTAATCTAAAATCAAAAGGAGGTCACACAAAATATTAAAATAATGTTCACTTGGCTAATATAGTATAATCAATTCCAACTTTGATGTAAATCCTTATTCGACGCAGATATAGTGCTGTATTGTGTGAAAATATATTGTATATCAATACAAGGCAAAAGCGTATTGACTGGACTCAGACTCATACCCGATTTGTTCTTTAGCAGCGCAAATGCTTATGCGCTATCAATCCGTAGATCACGATGGCGTGACGAAGCTAATATAATAATTTTGAATTTGCATAGCGGGATAATTCTACTGCATGGTGCTTTCCCCGTTATCATGCAGTTAAATAAACTTACGTGCAAATTATTTAGTGAGCGTGATGCCGGTGCTCGTTTTGCACCGGCAGGTACTTTTGAGTACGAGTGGTGTCAGAAATGGAAACAGCTGGATGAGATGAAGAGAACACAACTAGAAGCATTGGAGAAACAGTTTAAAGAAGCTGAAGATAAGTTAGAAACTGATATGGTTCAAGCTGTCGCTGATTACGAGGCAGAAATTAACCGTAGAGGTATTGTAATAAACCTGTGTATTTGTGTTTGACTGCAAATTTTATTCAAGCTTGTAAGGCAGTGGTCGAAGTGTTTGAACGTTCGAACCAAACGTTTTGGCGACGCATGTTGTTGAGGATATTTGTATCTGTTGTTGAGTACCATATGTCAGTGCTTCAGAGTGCTTTAATCAATGTGGAAATACACTACGAATATAAGTTATTTATATTGATTTTTTTTACTTTTTTTCTAAAGCGCTATTCCACATGGGAAGTAAGAAAATAACACATTTTATTAGTATAGGTAATAGTATGGTTTCGAGTGCAATTTGGAAAAAACATGCACCAGTGAGTTTTTCAAATATGATCAAAATTGTACGAGTCCGAAGGATAAGTGCAATTTGAAGTTTTTGAAAAACTCACGAGAAACCATACTATTACTTAAGGTCTAATTCCACGACAAGCGAAATGCGAAAAATTTCAAGCGAAAACACACTTGTGCGAAAATTTTCTCTCGCAGCGATTTCCACACTTGGAGAAAAAATTCGCCAAAACACAAGCATTTGATTGGTTTCGCTATTTTGTCATCCAAAACACAAGCATCTGATTGGTTTCGCTATTTCCATTTCGCAACGGAGTAGAAACGAATTCAACTACCCAGCGAAGAGAAATATTTCGCAGAGAAACATTCCAAAATCATGTTGCGCATGCGTTCAACCGTTTCGCGCGAAATTTTACGCATTTCGCTCGTCGTGGAATTAGGCCTTTACTAGAAGTTACTATCGCAAGGGGGAAATGCCACTGTATGGCCAAAAGTTGTTATTCCCCCTGATTAAGTATATCAAACCATTAAACCAGAAGATCATAAAGTGGTTTATTTGAACATTTGATTTATTCACATTGCTAAAGACACAGCACATGTTTGCATTTTTAGTGTCAAAATATTCAGATTGCAACATTAATAATAATTATCACTATTCATAGCAACGTTAACATTTCCGAGTGACTTCAGACTGTATCATGTATGTATACCAGGAAGCTCCTGATTGAGAGTGATTCAACTACCTGAAAAATGCAAGTGAGGGGCCATTCACAAAATGTGTGATGCTGCAAAATATGTGAAGATATTTGCCAATTTTTCCCCTCCCTACCCCCTTATGACAGTGTGTGACAGTTAGCAGTACACCCCATCATAAAATACGTGACCTTTGGGGGTTACCCCCAAAACCCCGCAAATTTCCTTTGCACTATCCTTGGGAGCTCGGAGTTGACACTTGTAAATGTTTGGGCTTTTTGTATTATTTTCTGCTAGAAATGACTGTTTATCTTACATTCAATGAAATTTGCACTGTATTTCATTTTTTGACACTGTATTTGATTTTTGGCCAATCAGAATTGAGAAATTTTTCAGGTATTTTATTAACCAATAAATATGTCATTGATAAAATATTATGAGTTGAAGTCGATAAAACTTGTTTTAATAGATTACATTTGAGGTCTGTTTACAAAATTCTCTCTGATTTCTATTGCGATTTTCATCTTCTGATGCATGAGAACGAGTCTTGACGTTTTTTACCACCGTGTGCGAGGGTCGCATTGAGATATGTTTTCTGCACAATGTAGCAGCACTAGCAACTCCACAAACAAATTGCCATAAAAACTGAAATTTGAACGGGCGAAAACATTTCCAAATTAGTAACCAGTAATTACCTAAATATCTTAGTTGACCATTAACAAACACAGTAAAATAGTAGATCAAATATAATTGATATTTTGTAATATTAAAACTCGTGCCTTGAAACATTCGCATGTTACCACAAGAAATTCAACAAGAGAAATGAGATTTTCGACTGTAGTACACATCAGATGCAATCATGGTACGTGTGTCACATCTCGTAAAAGATGCCAAAATTAAACCTGTTTGGGGAGTTTTGTAATCCAAGTGAGTATTATATACACTTTAAGACCTGACCAGGAACGACTGCGAAAAATGCAGCACAATGTCCACTGGTAGGAATTGAACCTACGGCCCTGCGATTCCGGTGCAGCGCTCTAACCAACTGAGCTACAGAGGCCAGGTTACAGCTCAACAGCTGGCCTCTGTAGCTCAGTTGGTTAGAGCGCTGTATCGCATTCTAATGTTAACCCTGAATCGCATTCTAATGTTAACTCCACCAAGTGAAGTGTAAGCAACCAGATTATCGATGTCCACCTTATCACAACCCGCACACCCGATTACCTATATTTTCGTGAACTTACGGTTACAGCTCAACAGCTGGCCTCTGTAGCTCAGTTGGTTAGAGCGCTGCACCGGAATCGCAGGGCCGTAGGTTCAATTCCTACCCAGAGGACCTTCTGCTGCATTTTTTCGCAGTTCCTGGTCAGGTCTTACAGTGTATATAATACTCACTTGGATTACAAAACCCCCAAAACAGCATTCTAATATTAACTCCACCAAGTGAAGTGCTAGCCTCCTCCGCAGGCATCTCACCCGACGAATCGGGTGGTGGGAAAAAGTTTGGTGAGATGCCTGCCTTAAATCGACACAAAAATTTGCACTGCGCATACCGGCTCGCGCATGCAAATTTTGACAAACGCAAACTTAGGGGGAGTAGGAAGGGCTTACGGCAAGGAGTGAAGAAAATTTTGTTTTCAACACGATGGCTTACAAGACGAGTAAAACTGTAAAATTAACGAATAATCCTGGTCTTCAACATTGCAAATACAAAGGGAACTTTGACTAAAGAGCTGAGAACGTTATCGAGAGCCGACGCAGCGATTTACTGGGATTGTTTAGAGACAACGAGTGACTTTGCAGAGAAGTGAATTCCCGTTGTCGTCGATTCATGTCAAGACATTTATCAAGATAAGGTTTCAATTGAAAGTTTATCGTTCATATATACAAATTTCTATTCAAATTGTTGACGACATTTTATACTGCTGAACGTGCAGTGATTTAGTCGAAATTATAACACGAAAAGGAACGATCGAAAATTGTCAATATATAAATGTAAATTCAACTGTTGACATCTGTGCCTGCGTATTAGATATATAAACACCTCTTGCCTTGTTTTATAAATACGCTTGTATGGAAGGAAATCATTAATAAAAGTCTCAAACAAATAGCTTTCTTATTGTGGAATACACTGTGCAATTTGTCCCTTGGTCCCAATGGACAAAGACAAAGTTTTTAAACTTGAGTGTCTCACAGTCTCAGATGTGGCGAAAATTAGCAAAAGCTTTCTTAAATCAGTGTGACATAATGGAAAGGACAACTGGAATTTAATAAGAATCTAATAGTTTTCCATGTGGTGTAGGGATGAGCCGATAAAGAAAATTGCCGATTACTGAGGCCGATTATTTATAAGCCGATTATTGTAACTAATCGGCCGATTAATCGGTACCCACCGATTATTTTAAAAAGCAAGCGAAAAATCACAGCATGACCAACAATGAAGTTATAAATGCGGTTTTATTGTTTACAATACACACTTTGTATAATTAAAAACAGCTTCAGTCTTGCATGTCAATAGTCAAAGTTTAGTTTTGGCAGATTATGGTGTAAAAACAAGACAATATGCGGAGCTAGTCTGCTGCGCTTTTTTAGTGGAAATGTTCCCAGCTTCACTTCACTTGAGATGAAAGAACGCACAGGTTTTGCAACAAAATGTGAAAATCTATTCGCTTGTATTCAGTATTTTAGCATGTGATTGGCAGCTGCAGAGAAAGTCTTATGGCCGATTATTTGACGATTATCAGGCAATAATCGGCCGATTACCGATAATTTAAAAAACGGCCGATTAATCGGCTTTGCCGATTATTTACCGATTAATCGGCTCATCCCTAATGTGATGCAACAGTGTATAAAGACCTGTGTTAATAACATTTGCCTTGGATTTGTTAATTAACCATTGGAGACATTACATACATTCCATTTTACTTGCCAAAGTTCACAGACAAAATATTTACATGGGTAAAATCCAGTTTGCAAGGCAAATTTCCCTATAACCATACAAGCAGTCACTGACGAAACTTCCCAGTGATAGACGTGTTTAATCAGGGATGGATCCAGCATGATCTAGTAGGGGGGTGCTCTGCCAGCTCTGGTGTCGAGTGACTCGAGTTGTGTCGTCATGTGTGCAGCCCGCATTAACATACAGCAACAGCAGTATTTTGACAATTTGGCAAAACAACCTCCATGTGGTACAAGTGTAGTGTACAATATCTCATTTTGTTTATTCTACGATCATCCAGATTAAAATTTTTTTAATTATTTCTGACAATTTGTCCCTTGGTCCCAATGGACAAAGACAAAGTTTTTAAACTTGAGTGTCTCACAGTCTCAGATGTGGCGAAAATTAGCAAAAGCTTTCTTAAATCAGTGTGACATAATGGAAAGGACAACTGGAATTTAATAAGAATCTAATAGTTTTCCATGTGGTGTAGGGATGAGCCGATAAAGAAAATTGCCGATTACTGAGGCCGATTATTTATAAGCCGATTATTGTAACTAATCGGCCGATTAATCGGTACCCACCGATTATTTTAAAAAGCAAGCGAAAAATCACAGCATGACCAACAATGAAGTTATAAATGCGGTTTTATTGTTTACAATACACACTTTGTATAATTAAAAACAGCTTCAGTCTTGCATGTCAATAGTCAAAGTTTAGTTTTGGCAGATTATGGTGTAAAAACAAGACAATATGCGGAGCTAGTCTGCTGCGCATATTGTCTTGTTTTTAC